CACGGCGAACGCCGTCAGGCGCTCACCTGGGTAGCGGGTGTGTTTGGCGCGCTCGGCCCGGCGGGACGCCTCGCCCGCGCGCCTTGCCGCCGCGCGCGCTGCGGGCTCGTCGCCGGCCGCCAGGTGGCGGACAGTCACGTCCAGCCAGCGCCGGCCGTCGAGGTCGTCATACTCGACGTCCAAGATAACCCGCTCCGGGACCGGCGCCTGCCCCCCCCCCGCGGCGCGCGGGCCCCGTCCCACGTGGGTACCCGCTGATCGTATAGCGGCGAGCAGTGGCACCACCTGCCGGCGAGGCTGCCCGCGGCGCGCGCCACGCCCGCGCGCCGCTTGACGACGCCCCCGCCTGGCTGACACACGGCCGCGTGGAACCCCGCCGGATCCAGCGGCGCTCGGCACGGCGCTCCGCCAGCCGTCTGGTGCTGGCAGGTCGCCGCCGCGCGCACTAGCTCGTCTGTGGAGCACTCCAGCCGCGGCAGCTGGGCGCAGCTGCGAGTGGCCGTCTGCCAGTGCTGGTCCTCCAGCGTGCGGGCCAGCTCCGCGGGGTACTGGAGGTAGGCGCCGGCCCTGGGCCCCCCCGGGGACAGCAGCGACGCCTCGCTGCAGTAGTGCATTCGCTGCTTCGCAACAGCGTGGGTTCTCGTACGCATCATAGCAACCAGGGTCTTCTGCTTTGTCGGGTGCCCCAGCAAGGCCTCCAGGGGCGCCGCTGGCTCAGGGTCCGCGCCCTGGCGCGCCAGCTCAGCCCGGGTCGCCTCGAGCGCGGCTGCGGCCTGCGGCAGCGCCGCCAGTATGTCTGTAAGAGTGGAGATCCCTGAGGAACCGAGGTCGTCCCGTACCTCCTCCGCCGCCTGCGTCCACGCCGCCCAGCAGGCGGGCGCCCGTCTGGTGGCCGCTCACTGCGCACCGGCTCCTCCGAGTTTCCCTGGCAAGCCCAGCAGCTCGCACGCCTCTGGCCCGAGCTGTCGCCCCAGCAGCTTCTCCCAGCAGCCACGCAGCGCGGCGTCGTAGCGGAAGGTTTCCTCTCCTGCGGCCAAGGCTAGCTGCAAGTTGTGCTGGCTGGCAGTGCCGGCGTAGGCATTGAGCAGCGCGCCCGCCGCCTGCCGCTTGAGCCCCGCTTGCAGCCGCTCCAGGTTGGCCCAGAGCCTCCGTGGCCCCGTCCAGCCCGCAGCCCTGCCCGCCGAGAGGGAGCGCCGCCCCGTCGGCGTCTCCAGAAGCCTGGAGCTGCGCACTTGCTCGCGAGCTCGGCCTCGACAGCCTGGACACCCGCAGGGGACCAGACCAGCGTTTTGTCGCCGTTCACCTCCAGCCCCAGTGGCGCGAGCACCTTGCGGAGGCCCGTCAGCGCGAGAGCGCCGAGGCCCGCCTGCACCACCAAGTAGGAGTCGTCGAGGTAGGAGTGTACAGGCGGGCGGCTGGGTCCAGCTGCTGCAGCCTGTGCAAGAGCTGCTCGAGGGCGCGCCGCTGCCCCACGGCGAAGGCCGCCGGGAGGGGGTCTCCCTGATCGAACCCGCGCCGGCTCCAGACCGCTTCGAAGCGCCCGTCGGCAGTGCGCCAGTAGTGCTCTGCGGGGCCCGGATGCCCCAGTCCTCCCCCTCCTCCTCCTCCTCTCCTCCTCCTCCTCCTCCTCCTCCTCCTCCTCCTCCTCCCTCCTCCTCCTCCTCCTCCTCCTCCTCCTCCTCCTCCTCCTCCTCTCCTCCTCCTCCTCCTCCTCCTCCTCCTCCTCCTCCTCCTCCCTCCTCCTCCTCCTCCTCCTCCTCCTCCTCCTCCTCCTCCTCCTCCCTCCTCCTCCTCCTCCTCCTCCCTCCTCATCCTCCTCCTCATCCTCCCCCTCCTCCTCCCCATCCTCCTCCTCATCCTCCCTCCTCCTCCGCCTCGTCCTCCTTCCCCTCCTCATCCCCCTCCTCCCCCTCCTCCTGTGCAGCCCCTGCGCAGCCCGCACGAGGGCTGCGACGTGCGCGGTGAACATCCGCAGTGTCTCGACAATCACGCACCGGGGCCGACAGCGCGCCCGGCGCGGCCGAGGGCGACGCGCTGGAGGCATCCCGCGGACGCATCCCTTCCCACGCGCAGGGCGGCGCATCGCTGGTTTGCGGCGCACTGTCTTCCACCCCACGAAGCCCCCAGGAGGCCCCAGGGATGGGCCACGAGGCCCCCAAGAGGCCCAAGAAGACGCCCCGAGAGGCCCCAAGACGGCTCCCAGGAGGCCTCCCAACGCCCCCAACCACCCCAAGAGGCCCCCAAGAGGCCCCCCGCAACATCCCAACCAACATCCCAGAGGCCTACGACCCACAACCCAGGCGCGGTGGCGGCATGGGCCGAAGGCCATTAGAAGCATCCCTCCACATCTGCATGGCGACGCATCGCTGGTTTGCGGCGCACGCCCGAGTCGGATACAGATTGGCGGCAGCCCGGGGGAAAGTGAGAGGGGGCGGGCCTTCTCAGAAGGCTCGGAAGGCCTTGGGCCTTCTGAGAAATTCTCTGAGCCTTCCCCAGAAGCCACGGAGAACTTGTCACGCCGACTTCTGAGAAGGCCTGCTCCTTCTCACTTCCACCCCTCGCTCGCCGCCGATGTATGGCGGCGTATCGCTGGTTTTCGGCGCACACCCGACTCGGACACAGAAGCTGCGAGGTGGCGCATGACTCGAAATCGCACACCGAGCCTGCATGCAGGAGCATGGTGGCCGCATGCAGGGGAAGACGACGCAGGAGCGAATGCTGGCCAAGAGGTGAAGGCGGACCAAGGGGAGGAGAAAGCAGCCTCCACCTCCTCCTCCTCCTCCTCCTCCCCCTCCTCCTCCTCATCATCATCATCATCATCATCATCATCATCATCAGCAGCAGCAGCAGCATCATCAGTATGATCATCATCATCGTCATCATCATCATCATCATCATCATCATCATCAGCAGCATCATCATCGTCATCATCATCGTCATCAGCATCGACGTCGTCATCATCATCATGATCATGATCAGCATCATCATCAGCATCATCATACTCCTCATCCTCCTCATCCTTCTCCTGCTCCTCCTGCTCCTCCTTCTCCTCCTGCTCCTCCTCCTCCTCATCATCATCAGAATCAGAATCATAATCATCATCATCAGCAGCAGCATCATCATCATCATACTCCTCAGCATCCACCTCCTCATCCTCTTCGTCATCATCATCAGCAGCATAATCATCATCATCATCATCATCATAATCATCATCATCATCATCATCATCATCATCATCAGCAGCAGCAGCAGCAGCAGCATCAGCATCAGCATCAGCATCAGCATCATCATCATACTCCTCATCCTCCTCATCCTCCTGCTCCTCCTGCTCCTCCCCTTTCTCCTCCTCCTCCTCCTCCTCCTGCTCCTCCTCCCCCTTCTCCTCCTCCTCCTCCTTTTGCTCCTCCTCCTCCTCCTGCTGCTCCTACTCCTCCTCCTCCTGCTCATCCTCCTCCTCCTTTTCCTCCTGTTCCGCCTCCTCCTCCTCCATTCCTTTTCCATATACATAACGGTTCCCTGTCGCACCCCGAGGCCAGTTTTCAGGGCGGACCTGGCGTTTCGCTTGAGACTCCCTCACCACTGGCAACAGCTTCAAGGATGGAGGGCGGGTGGTTTTCAAAATGAAGCTCTCGCCTTAGCGCCGCGCACATTCGTCTTAAAAATTTGGAAGAGCTTCACGGTTTGAGGGCGGGTGGCTTTCACAATGTGGCTCTCGCCTTAGCGCCGCGCGCATTCGTTGTTTAAATGTGCAAGAGCTTCACGGATTGAGGGTGGGTCGTCTTCAAAATGTGGCTCTCGTCTTCGCGCCGAGCACACTCATTGTAAAAAAATTGCCAGAGCTTCACGGATTGATGGCGAGCGGTTTTCACAATGTGGCTCTCGTCTTAGCGCCGCGCACATTCGTTATTTAAAATGTGCAAAAGCTTCGCAAGAGCTTCACGGATTCAGGGCGGTTCCCTTTCAAAATGTGGCTCTCGCACTAGCGCCGCGCGCATTTGTTAAAAAAAAAAATGCTAGAGCTTCACGGATTGAGGGCTGTTCCTTCTCAATATGTGGCTCTCGCCGTAGCGCCGCGCGCCTTCGTTGATAAAAGTTCGAGGAGTTTCACTGATTCCCAATCAACGTGCCAGAAATGGCGTCTTGGACGAAAAAACGGATGTCGCAAGTGCAACAATTCTGTTGATTCGCGGTGTTGAAGTCCCAGAAACGGCATGTGGGCACGATTCGAGATCGTCAAGACGCAGCAGTCAGGTTGATACGTGGCGTTGAAATCCCGAGATCTATGTTTTTGCATGCTTCAGGGTCCTCAAGGGTGTCTTCCAACGAGGCAGTTCCCTCAATGGAAATGAACCGCTGTAGGGGCCAATGAAAAGGAAGCTTGGAGGGAGGGTTCATTCCAACATCGTTGATGACTCTTTGGTTTACACTGGTCCTCCTCCTCCTCCTCCTCTCCTCCTCCTCCTCCTCCTCCCCCCTCCTCCTCCTCCTCCTCCTCCTCCTCCTCCTCCTCCTCCTCCTCCTCCTCCTCCTCCTCCTCCTCCTCCCCCTTGCAACATCTCCTGTAGCCCATCTCGTAATGCCAGCCTCCACGGCCCAGGGGCACGTTCGTCATGCTCCCCAGCCTGACAAGTCTGGCAAGCGCGAGTGCGACCGCAACTCTGCACCCGACGAACGGTACAAGAGACCAGACGGACGAGACAAGAGGTGTAAGACGAAGCCAGGACGAGGATATCATCGGGTGGGGATAATCGAGAATCTCTGAGAGCCGGCGGCTCTGGAGGATGTCTCGGGCGCCGCGGCCTTCTCAGTGGAACGGATTCATCCTCGACCCAGCCCTTCTCGAAAGAGACCAGACGGACGAAACAGGAGGTAGCAGGGGAGGAGGAAACGGAAGATCAGGGAAGGGGAGCCGTTCGAGCCCCAGGCAGCGGTGCACAAGCGGATCCCACCCGTACAGGCCTTGCGATATGCGCCGGGGGTGATGCTGCAGAAGCATCACCAAGTATTGTAGGAAATGAAGATACACGGTACAACGAAACGAAATCCGCCGGCCCCCTTCTGGGGCCACCAGGCTGTAGGGCGAAGGTTTGCTGTTCCTTGCATCAGTTGCAGTTTCCAGTTTCCAACGTGATGGCTCTACTTTCTGCTTTCTACTGTTAATTGTTACTGAACGCGCGAAGGGGGGGGAGCCGAAAAGCGCCAATTTACCACGCCCCTCCGGGATTCGCAGGCTTCCCGGGGGGGCGTGGGACACGTAAAAATATATGAGATTCGCGCCCCTGACGCCATAAACCCAAGCAAATTGCACAATATTCGCGTCCCCGAAGCCAGAAACCCTTGTAAACCACCCAATATTCGCGTCCTCGAAACCATAAACCTTCATTAATTACATCATATTCGCGTCCACGAAGGCATAAACCCTGACAGATGATACAATATTCGCGCCCCGAAACCATAAACCCATGTAAATAACATAATGATCGCGTCCCCGAAACCATAAACCTTTGCAATTTACACGATACTCGCGCATCCGAAGCCGCAAACCCTTGTAAATTACACGATACTCGCGTCCCCAACGCTCCAATACTCGGTGAATTACATAATGCTCGCGCCGTCGAGGCCACAAACCCATGAGAATCACCAAGTACTCGCGGCCCCGAAACCACACAACCTCGTAGAGTATGCAAAAGTTACGTCCTCGATGCCAGAAACTTTTGTGTGTGTAAGTTACGCAGACTCGCGTCCCCGATACAATAAACCCTCGTAAGTTAAGCAATATTCGCGCCCCCGAAGCCAGAAACCTTTGGAAATTATTCCATAATTAAACATTCGTAAATTACACCGCTGACTCGCCTTCGAGGCTACGATCCCTCGTGCATCACCGTAGATTCTCACCTTCGAGGCCATGATCTGTAATAAGTTAAACGATGTTCGCGCCGTCGAGCCCAAGACCGCCCCAAAACGGCCCAAGAAACCTCCAGGAGAGCCCCAAGACGGCCCCAGAGGGCACCAGGACAGCTCAGGAGGCACCCAAGACGGCCCAAGAACTCCTGAAGATGGCACCCAGAGAGGTCCAAAGCGGGACCACGTATAAAAAATCTGAGCTATCAGCCCCGCGAAGGCGAAAGAGAGCTCCAAGTGGATGCCAAGCCCCCCCAACAGGCTTCCAAGAGGCATCCCAAGAGGGCAGCCAATGCCACTCGATGTTGCCCAACGTAGCCTCAAGCAGCCCCGAATCGCTGCTCCAATACATGGCACAAGAAGAAACTCGACAATAACAATACGGACTTCAACAACACGTTATGAACCTGAGTCTGCCGCAGACCAATCGCCCTTACAGGAGGTTCCGACATTGTTTCGCAACGTTGCAAAGGAATTCCAGCACAGCTCTAACATAATCCATTCTCATAGAGAGGGGGCCGGCGGCAGGGAGCGAAGCCCTTACGGATAAAGATGCAAGTGGAAGGCGGAAAGGTAAGGAAACAAAGGTGTGCAGCAGGATGTAGCAGGATGCAGGAAACAATGAAGAGACAGGATAGACATCATGGAGTTCGACGGGGCAGAAAGCTGAGAGAATATGAACCGACGTTGGCTCCAAGCAAAGGGTCGCGGAACACAACTGCGGCAATGACAAGCCACAAGCTGATCATCAAACTCCGACCTTTGTTTTAGGCGGCCAGCATGGGGGGGAAGTGAGAGGGGGCCAGCCTTTTCAGAAGGCTCGAGACCCCCGGCCTTCTGAGAAGTGTTTTAAGCCATGCCCGAAGACACAAAGACCTTCTCAGCAGGCGCGAGGATTTCTGAGAAGCCCCGCCGCCTTCTGAGAAGGCCTCCTCCTTCTCACCCTCCCCTCGCTCGCCGCCGACATTTGAAACCATCTGGCAGAAGCGCTCCGCAGCCCCAGCGGGGGAGGGGTGGCGGTGGACCGCCCCAGGCCGCCACTCTTCCAAGAGCGGCATCTTTCACGGCTGCCCTGCCCTCCACGCCCTCCCTTGCCCTCACTAACCCTCCCCTGCCCTCGCCCCACCTCCTCCCCATCATCATCATCATCATCATCATCATCATCACCATCATCATCATCATCATCATCATCATCATCATCATCATCAGCAGCAGCAGCAGCAGCAGCAGCAGCATCATCATCATCATCATCATCATCATCATCATCATCATCATCATCATCATCATCATCATCAGCATCATCATCATCATCAGCATCATCATAATCATCATCATCATCAGCATCATCATCATCATCATCATCATCATCATCCATCATTGTCAGCATCATCAACATCATCAACATCATCATCACCATCATCATTAGCAGCATCATCATCATCATCATCATCATCATCATCATCATCATCATCCTCATCCTCATCCTCATCCTCATCCTCATCCTCATCATCATCCTCATCATCATCATCATCATCATCATCATCAGCATCATCATCATCAGGAGCAGCATCATCATCCATCACCATTAGCAACATCGTCATCATCATCATCAGCATCATCATCATCAGCATCATCATCATCATCATCCTAATCAGCATCATCATCATCATCATCATCATCAGCATCATCATAATCATCATCATCATCAGCATCATCATCATCATCATCCATCATTGTCAGCATCATCAACATCATCATCATCATCACCATCATCACCATCAGCATCATCATCATCGCCATCATCATCAGCAGCATCATCATCATCATCATCATTATCATCATCGTCATCGTCATCAGCATCGGTATCATCATCACCATCACCATCATCAATATCATCATAATAGTCATAATATTCCACATCATCATCACCATCATCATGTTACTGTTCCACCTCATCCCTCCCTCTCCTCCTCCTCCTCCTCCTTCTCCTCGTCCTCCTCCTCCTCCTCCACCTCCACCTCCACCTCCTCCTCCTCCTCCTCCTCCTCCTCCTCCTCCTCCTCCTCCTCCTACTCTTCCTCCCCCTCCTCCTTCAGGCTCCTTCAGGCTGCGGAACGCTTGCGTCCAAGAGAAACAGGACGCCCGGGATTCAAAACAATGAAAGGTTAAGAGGTGGTGAGGCGGAAAAACCTGCCCACCACTCGGTTAGTGGACGGGTTCCCCCCCTCGTTGAGAAGCCTGAGGGTCTTCTCCCCGTACGTGTTGCGGGGTTTCCCAGGACAGGAACCCCCCCGAGCAGGCGACGTCGCGAAGTCCCGAAGGCTGCACAACTGGAGCACCACACCAAGGAGGGGCCCATGAGCCACTGCCTATGGCTCTTGTCGGCCATGCGGGCCAACCTCGGGGGGCCAGCGCAGGGCATCGCGCACACTGCTCGATCGGAGAGGCCACGGGCCCCACAGCGGGTGCATATGAATGCCTTCCCTGCCTTGCTAGTAGCTCTCTGCAACACGTAGCCTTGACGGTTGGGAACGAGCTGCTGGGCGTCGAACGTCGGCTTAGGGGGCCTCTTTACCCGCTGGACGTCGGGGACGTTCCGAAAAGAAAAATGCTTACCGAAGGCACCGATATACTTGCAAACTGGTCTCAGCGAGTCGCGGCCACCCAGGAGCCGTCGCAAAAGAACAAGGCTGCAGACAGCCAACGTCTCTGCCAAAGCGTGGCCAAACCAGGCCCAAAACGGCACTTTCGAAGTCCTGGGGCAGGCTTGACAGGCAAGGTGGGCCCTGATTTCGTGGACCCCGATATCCCCGAGCCCGACGTCCACAGCCAAGAAAAACACCTCATCCCACAACTCTGAAAAGGCAACATGCGAAAAGCCCGCCCCCCCCTTCCGCTGCTTTGGAAGGGGTGGGGGAGGGGCCCAAACGCACTCCTGTCAGAACCGCCAACTTCAAGCACACTAACTACCGCCCAACCCGCCCTGGCCGACAACGTGTTGCCCTGGTCCAGGCCCGAACCGCCCACTCAAAGAAGAGAACCCAACAGGTCAGAGGCAGAACGACGGCGCCAGTGGCGGGGACGGGCCATGGACAGGGCGGGCCAATCGGCCTCAGGGTCGGGCACAAGGGCTCCGGTGGAAAACAACTCCTTAGGCCAGGCCTGCCTACACCGTCACGGACGGAACAAGTGGAAGCCAGGGCACTCGTAGAGCCTGTGCTTGGGGGTCCCCCCCACCAGCCCACATACCATGCAGTAGTGGGCGATGCCTTTTCTATCCCTGACAAGTTGCAGCTGACACAGGTAATCCCCAGCGGTAACTCCACTAAGAAAGATGGCGGCCCTTGGGTCGTCACCTTTTGCGGAAGCACTGGAGCTCCTCGCGGATGACAATGATCAGCGTTGGCTTAGGAACTCTATCGGGGGAGAGGATGGACACATGACGCAAAAGCTCGCGATATGTGCCCTGCGCGATGAAAGACTCAACGGGGTGGCGGCCGAAGGTGGAGAGGTCGAGACAGATCCCGCCCCCGATGCCCCACTTGTCAAGCCCCTCCCCTTCCCAATCGAGTCGTTACAAGGTGGCTAAGACCGCAACTGCAGGACCAAAATTAGACGACCACCTGACAAACCCCCCGGCCGGCTTTGCAATGCTGCCAGCACGTGTCCAACATGGAGCGAGGCAGCTAGCTCTGGAGGATGGCCTGGCGCCATATGCCAA